GACGGCTAGCGCAGATAGCCCTCGTGTAGCTTCGCGCGAAATTCAAAACACAAACAAACAAATCTCACTCTTATGAAACCTGAAAAAACAAAATATTTGTACCGTTGTCGAAAAGCAAGCAATTGGAAATTTGAAATAATTTTCTTGGATTGTTACTTTAGTAATTGCAACTAATAATGTGGATCGATTATGACATGGGATTCTGCGTTAATAGTTTTAGTATACTTCGTACAAAGCTTTCTGCTATTATACTACTTAAACACGTAGCAAAATCTAGTAAGTATTACAACTTATTCCTCCTATGTTACTTGTTGTAATTGTGTGATAGCACCATCTTGCATCTTATAGTTTGTAAGCTAAGTATTCTGGTGTAAAATTCTTATTTTATAATCACCTTTTACTCTTACGTAAATGTAACAATGAGGATGTTATTGCGCAATAAGACAAATTACGACTAAAATTTTAAACCTGATAGTTATAAGATTGCTAGAAGATCTATTTACCTCCTAGACCAAAGGTGAACGGAGGGTATGTTTCACCCCTGTGTGTGTGTTTGTCAGCAAGATTTATTGAAAATGTTTGAATGGATTTGGATGAAAGCTGGTTTACATTTGGAATATGACCCAACTTCAAAGATATTAGTTTTTGAAGGGCATAAAGGTCACGAAAAATCCCTGTCTGTTAACACGAGGACCAATTTTTTTACACTACACTTTATAGTCATTTAATGTTCATCTATTATTGGGTGGTAATTCCTGTTCACCCTGTACTTAAACTGTTTAAAAGAACGCGTGTATTTGTAAGAAAGCTAACTTCAAGGGGTTAATGATAACATCGTTAACACTAAATTATGACGTTTTTTAGCTTATATAAAATATAGAAGAAACGAATCGACTTTTCAACACCCTACAACCTTCGCAGTACCATATTTAGCATTATAGAGAGGTTTGGGTGCAATATACCAAGCATTTTTATATGTGTACAGCCTTAGCAATCAATAGTAAAAGTCTTAAAGTGTTGTTTGAAGTGAATCTTTATTGTTTAAGGTGCTTTTTGCCCGAATGTTCTGTTGCGATCCCTATTATGAACGACTATCGTGATTCACGATATTATGTGGTGATATAAAATATGTTAGATTTTCTCATATTGTCTGTGTGCTTTATGGGATATAAAATATTAGATTTTCATATGTTGCCTCTTTTATTTAAGTACAACGGATTTTATTACGTTATTTTATTCTTTGTGATGATACAATATTTTTTGTGTTGTTTCTATGCAGCATAGCAGTCAAAGTTTTCTTGTCTTATTTATAGATATTCTGTTGTTATATTACATATTTTTTATTACTCCAGGTGGCTCAGCGATAAAAGTGAAGGCTTTAATGCTAAAATACAGGTTTCGATACTCGTGATGGGCACAGCACAGGCAGCCCATTGTGTAGCTTTGTGCTTAACAATAAAAAGAAAACAACCCCCTCCATCCGTATAAGATAAGATCACAGTGGGCAACAAAATTTTTTTTCTCTGCTACTAGAAAAAAATTCAAATATTTCTGTGCTGATGTTTATTCTAAAAATCATGTTGGAAATTACTGATCACCTCTAGTTTTCGAGTTATAATAGATTTATTCAAAATATTCTTATATATCGTGAAAATAACTGTTTATTCATTGAAAATGGCATTTAAAAATGTATAATCTGCCTGCTCTGATAAGTTTCTTTCATGTTCCAGCAGGACAATAGGAATCGGTGGCTTAGTGTTCCCATTGTGCAAAAGTACAGCTTTCAGACTGACTTCAGATAAGTCCATAAAAAGTATCCATTGTTGAAAATGATATTCAGTACCCAATTCTTCCATTAGTGCATCAATATTTGTACAGAAACAAAGTATCTTCCATGTTGAGAAGCAAGAGTTTGATGACAACTTCAGTAAATATAAACTCTTGTTCTTGAAGCTAATAAATTCCGTTGCTGTGAACGAGAGCCAAGAAGTTCCCCATGCTGCTTTGATAGACAAGTCATGAATCAGATTATTTAACTCCGCTTGTGTGATCAGCTGAGACAGTTTATGTTGAGATGACACAAGAATTACTAGATGAAGATGATTCATTGTCTTTTCACAGGATAACTCTTCTGTTTCCCAATTCGCTGGTGGATGTGGCATTGGAAGACCCTTGAGGTACTGGTTTCATTGTAGATGCAATTTCTGGATATTTAATGTATTGATTAGTTTTGTCTAAATATCTAGAAACATTAGTCATGCAAAGATAACAGTCAATTTGATGATCCTTGGGCTCACGCCATATCATGGGAATTACAAATGGCATACTTGCTTTCTTCTTATTCCATCACTTTGTCAAGCCAGATGTGCAAACTGTACAACACAAATGTGAAGCCCAATGTTTTCTTTTTTAGTAAGTGAGAGGCAACTGAGAAAGAGGCGTCTGACTCCAGAATGTTTATGCTTATTCGAAGGACTTCTCGAATGTTCTAGCAAACTGAGCACGCGAGAGTTTCACGATTCCAGGATGGAGCAGGTGAGCGTGGGAATTAAGCAAAAGTGGTGCAATTTTTTACAATTATATCGAGAACAACTAGCATATTGGAACATTTGGAATTTTACACCAATACAATACAGTCAATGATTGAAGTTATCAAAAATTTATGCCTTTTACCCATTAATTAAACTGTCTAGTAAACTTATTTTCACAGCATAAATCTATCATATCGAGTTAATTGCATGATATCTTGCATAGTGCTGATAAAATAGATATATTACAATAACTCAAAATCTAGAGTGATAAAAAAATTCTGACTACATTTTTGAAATCAGCACCATCAAATTACCCGAATCACCTGCATTTTCTCCAGTAGCAAATTTTTTGTTATCCAGTGTTATCATAACTCGAAAATATTCGGAGATGCGACGCACAACTTAATTATGTACAGTGACGTTGTAAACGAATCTAATGGAAATATTTTTACTTTGCTTACATTTATCACTCGAAATTAAAACCAAACAGAAAAGCGCTGAAGGCGGGAAAACGTTCAGTGGTTATTTTCTTTGTGTATTATTTCTAACAATTCTTCTACAGTTTTAATCATTACATTAGAAAAGACATGTAGAGTGTGTATTACAATCTATACTGGTCTAAAAACATTTAATATTTTCTCACTGATCACCGCACTTCTTGAAACTAACACAACAGCTTATTTTTTCAGCTTTAAAACCCAATAACAACAGTTTACTAGGAAAATATGGTTTGTTTATATTACTGGTAAAAATACTGTTTGACAAGGCAGTATATTAACAATCAAGAGTTCTTCGTTCCGTTTTTTTAACTATCATTTTACAGTTGCTGTCTAGCCTTAATTACCATATAAAGATAAAAAACAAATAAATCAACCACATAATACTAAGACAGGAAATTTTGAAATATGACGTAAACATTAATGACAATTATAAAATTTCGTAAAGAGAATAACAAACTAGTGAATGTAAACATGAGAAACATAAAAAAGTACCATTCAAAGTCGCTTGAAGTTTTCTAGAAAAAGTTTATGTAAACTCAACCTTGTCTTAAAATGTAGATTGTTCTATGTAAAGGCTGGGTATCCCAAAATATAAATTTACTTAAATAAGCCTTAATAAACTAGAGAGTCAATAGTAAAACTAACCAGTACTGTATTCTATATTTTATCCCCCTCAGCAGTAAGTCTGGGTATTTATAACGGGTTTCGATACCAAGCATTGAGCAGAGCACAGATAGCTTACTGTGTAATTTTGTTATTAACAATAATCTTTATTTTATATTCTAGTTTGTCTTCCGATAATATTATAAGCAAATAAATAAATAAAAACACACTCGTACTTCATGTCTTTTAGCAAAGCGTTATTTAATAACTTCTTCAGAAAGTAAGTTCAGCATTTCTAATTATTTGGCATATTGCTTAATTTGCGTGCTTACTAATTACATTAACATAAGAACAATGCCAATGGAAGAAAAAATATATTCTGTTGCTTTAACTACGCTAAGATATAGTCCATTAAACTTCCCCAATTACCACAGTTTCAAGCTAAAATTTCAAAGAAAAATACAAGAAAATCTAAATGAATATTATTTTTGCTTTTCACGACGACGAAAGTAAATTTACTGAAACTTCCTTTTCAAAAGGCAGGAGTTAATTAATCAGTGCCATGGCTATAATTCAGGTTAGAAGTAGAATAAAACGCAATATGCTCAATTTGCTTATAATTTAAACCAAATTACTTAAGGTTCTCTTTAAGAAAACGCTGTTTAATTTATTTTAAGCTTTTTTTTAAAGACAAGTAATCAAATATTAACGTTAAATACTCTCAACATTTTACTACGACTTCTTTAGAAACACCTGAACATAATTAACTGAACTGCCATTTTTATCGTTGACTAAAATAATCAGAGTTTTGTGAACTCGCAGTGTTATAGATAATCCAGGAGCAACTACATCCTTGTTACAACACACATCAGCAAAACAATATAACTCTTGTACAGTAATGTTTCTTTACTAATAGTTATGGCCGGACGTGAATTATGGATCCGAGAGCTCATGGTTTGCATCTCGTTGCCAGATAAAATCTCGCACTACGACTTTGGGGCTGAAGGTGCATTATAAGAGTGATTGTCAGATCTCACTATCTGATTGGAGTAGACCAAAAATTAACAGTGGTGCTGTTGACTAGTTACCTTCCATCTAGTCTATCAGTTCAAAATTTGGAAGGTTCGCTCATACAAATCTTGTGCAACTTCACATGAATATCTCAAATAAAACAAACTAACAACTACTACAGTATTGTTATGTCAGCCTGACGAAGGCGTGTGTAACCGAATGTAAGTGAGAATAAAACATTAAATTTTCGAAGGCAAGTGGTGTTATCCTAAGATTTCATGAAGTATTTTAGATTATAATACATATTATCGACTGAACACAACAAAACAAGTTATCTAGAAGAACTTTATTGCTAGTCAAATCACATACTAAAAGTTTACAAAGAAAGAACTACAAAGATATAATCTCTGATTTTTATTCAATAATTGTTATGGAATACCTAAGGAACATAGAAAGACATAATAATGACACGAGTATAAGGCTACTAAACAAAAATGAGGATATGGAAGTTTTTTTTAAAGAGGTGAAAATATCAATATTAAAAGCGCCATCTAGTGATACTTACTGACTCAATATGTAACTTTGGAGTTTCTTTTGGAGTCTTTATTAAATACACACAAACATTTATCCTCTACAAAATGTGCCTTGGAAACAGTACATTGTCAAATCTTTTTATATCTAGCCTACATACTCAGAATATTTATTGATGGCAGTGAAGAATGAAAGTTACACGAGTTTAACAAGCGAACGTAATTGTATTTGCGATTGAACAACACACAGTAAAGACATTCATGAAAAAATGATTTTGGTTGAAAAACCTATTTCTCTTTACAAAAAAAAAAATGATGAAAACTAAAATTATAAATATGCGAAGCCATTTATTTAAAAAACAGCAACAAAAACCACGAAACTGAACGACAAAATTTTGAGGTCTTTTTTCACACGATGTTTAAGAGAAAATTTTGTGTCAGGCTGGCAGTGAGGATGACACATACGTTCAAAGTTTTGAAAAAGTATACATAATGAGCAATATTTTGAACACCAACGATTTTTTTTATCTCTTTTCACACACTCAAACATGTATTTATTTACATGAGTACAGTTAACAATTGTAATAACATTTCATTATTAGTTGCCAAACTAAATTATTAATCTCATTGGTACGTTTGACAAAAGTGGCAGCAAACAAAATTTATTACACACACATCGCAACTAACATTTTCTGACAACTTGTGACAATGTATACATATACTTGGGGCAGAAATTATGCTATTACCTTTAATGATAATGAAAAGGTTTTTCTCATAGACGTACTCTTAATCTTGTCAGTACGTTTAAGCATGCTCACTATAAATACAATATTAATTTTCTAGATTGTTGAAAATTTTCTAGAACTACAAAACTATTGAAGGACTATCAGCTTTTTTAGTAAAATAATCAATATTTACCATTTACTTCCAGAAATTTTTTTTTGTAAACCTTACACGAAACGTAAACAATACAATTCTATTACTTTATGAAGAGAATGTATTTCTTATTTCCATATTTTCCTGAAAAAGAAAAGGGTTAAGCCACGAACGCCAGCCAACTAAAGTGACTGAACAATTACGATTCTTTTCAAGATGATTATCTACATAGCAGTCAGAGACTCCAAAATAATGCATGAAGCTGCAAGGAAGCATCTTAAATTATTTCCCATGATGCTTCAAATTAACAGTTTTCTCAACCTTATATTTGTCCCTATTAACTACACAGACTGAAATCCCTTACTTTTATCAATAAACCCGTGTTTCATGTACTCATCCAAGGATTAGATATAATGTGACATTTGTCTAATAGCTAATCCCACTCCTTTTCCCATTAATAGACCCCCCCTCCAAATATTTAGTGACAATATAGTAAGAGGTAGCTCAAGACTTTTATAATCAGGCTTAACATATAAAGACGGTACGACTAAACAAAGTTAATTTCAAAGTTTACATTTTACTTTGACAAATCTTCAGGACTTAAAAAAAAACTATAAGTGCTTTTAAACCTAAGAGCAAAAATAAAACCGATGACATCTTCTAAAATGGTTGCCTAAGATTATAAAACAAATTGTGCCAAAGCTATATAATATAACAAAGAAACCATGCACAGTTGTCATTTCGGAGGCGCCCCCAAGCTGTAGGAGTGCTCCCAAATGGTAGTTCTGCGAGACATTTCTAGTCAGGCCGGATTAACGCATATAAGCAAATAATGACATAGCAAAGAGCCCCAAGCTGAATTAAGGGGCCACGAGAGTTCAGCCTTCTTTACTCCCTCACAAAGTTTTTGTGACGTTACTCTTCTTAAACCATGTTGACTACTCTGACTTTGCTATGCAGCTCTATATAGCTAAAATACTTGAAACATTTAAACACAACGATTGACAAAGGCTTAACTCAACTATAAGAATTTACAAACAAAACATTTTATCATACCTGAAGTGGCACAGCGGTATGCCTACGGACTTACAACGGTAGAAACCGTTTTCGATATCCGTGGTGGTCTGAGCACAGATAGCCCATTGTACAGCTTTGGGCTTAACATCAAACAAACAAACCAGTGAAATTATAATTACAGTATTTAGGATTTTAAATTGGTGAAATTATACTTTGGTTTGGTTGATGGCTTACCAACATTGTTTTCAAATTATGATCTTGTGCAAATTTAGTTTTTTACGATCTTAATCACCAGATCCTATTATGATATTATTTAGTTTCTCAGTAAGCATTCTCACCTTCTTATGAATCATATTATCGAATTACGTTGCCCATTTTCTAACTTAACCTTTGGATTTTACACTGACTTTAGAGATATCTTATTCTATATTCTTAATAATAATGTACATCACTACACATCTTAACCCCGTTAGATGTTATCACATCTGATGCTGACTTCTGTACGATATAACAAAACAAATAGCAACAAAAAACGTACTCAAGAAAAATTCTCTTTATCATTGTTATCAATACTTATGCTCAATATAAAGCTATTTTTTTCAGTTACATTACTGTACTAATTATACTCAAAAATAGGAAGAAAATGTGATCAATGACCAACATAGTAAATTGTACACAAATTTACAGTTAAGTACGTATGGTATATATATATATATATATATATATATTAATCTCCAGTACCCTGATAAGATCCATATCGACAGTAAATGAAACACAAGTATATTTCAGAGTCCAACACATAACTAACTGATGACCTTATAGTGACTTATAAACTCTTTGAGATGTGACTTCCTGTAGTGTTTACTTCAAGAGTGAGCCAGTTTTCTCTACACTTTGTTGGTTACTCAGTGCCTCATTCTTTGCACCTCTGTAAAGAAAGAATCACCATTATTTTTTTCTTCAAGGCATTCGGTCTTACATTATATAAGAAATTTAAGCAAAAGTCTTGAAAATAATTACCTATATGTTCAAAGACATTCACACATGTACTATGGGTATGTATTTTTCTGAGGAAGAAGGTTTACAGAAAATTGCTTCTAACAAAAACACCATTTTTAATTAGATTTTCTCTTTAAACTTTGCAATAAAAACAAAATAATCGTTCATTTAAATAATTAAGAAAAAATACACATTAAAGTACAGTTAATCATATGATGAATTAATTATTTTAACTGGGAATATCAACATTTAGTTTGCTTTTATAAAAAGAAAAAAACAGTATGATGTTCAGAGGAGGTCAAATGGTTAATAAGGTTATCACAAAGCTTAAATTTCATCATATTGTTGTAACGTGTTCTATTCTTGGGCCGATTATTTTGGAGTATTTGATAAAAATAATGCGAGATCACGTTCACGTAACGATAAATAATTAAATTAATTTTTCAGTCTACGTTTACTACAGCCACGTTCACTTGTAAGCCTAATTTAAAAAACAAAACATTTTACAACATAAACTCCGAAAGTACTGCAGGCTTAATGCAGTAGAAATGTTTAACAGAAATTTCCTCGATTAATAATAGACCTGACTAATGTATTTATTAGCTGACAGAAGCACTTTTACACTCAGTGACTCGCTCAGCAAGTCAATCAACCTTTCCTTGATCACCAAATCTGACTAACGTATTTATTAGCTGACAGAAGCACTTTTACACTCAGTGACTCGCTCAGCAAGTCAATCAACCTTTCCTTGATCACCAAATCTGACTAACGTATTTATTAGCTGACAGAAGCACTTTTACACTCAGTGACTCGCTCAGCAAGTCAATCAACCTTTCCTTGATCACCAAATACACGATCATTGATTATTGTGCTTATACTTAGCTCTCACTTCTACCAATTATGGGAAGTATCTATTTATAGGGCTATTTTTGTGAATTTCTAGATGTATCGTCATCATCATCATGATTAGCAGCTTCCTCTAACAAACAATTAAATAATAGATTTGAGAATATAGCTTAATAGAACGTTTTCTGCATTTCATGGACTTTTCACTTTATAGCAACAAATGACTATGACCTCAGAAGTCAAATATTTACTGTTTTAATAGTTTGGTTTGTTGTGAATGATTAGATATTTTAACAAGTCTTGTATTTTATACATTCAAATAAAACGTGTTATAAATTAAATATTAGAAAGAACCATGCTATTTTTTAATTCACACAAGTTTTATTTTATCGGTTGTATATAGTAAAACTTTTGTTTATTTTGTTCACAACGTTAAAGAAGAAGTGAGTATGAATTATGCTTATAGCTTCAGTGTCAGTAGATGGATGACCAGAATCAACTTTTGTGAAAGGAGTGATTATGGAATATGTTTGTAGCTCATCTTATGATGTCAGGTAAACCTGGTAAAACGTTGTGAACAAAATAAACAAAAGTTTTACTATGTACATCCGATAAAATCTAGTGTGAAAATTTGGTATAATCTTATTCATACTTTTCCAGATTTGTGACTATTGAGCTACAACCTGGAATATTTGAGTGTATTTGTTGGACTTAGGTTGGAGCATATAAAAATTACCACTTTCGTGTCCTGCATGAAATTTACTACACAAAGACACATTTAAACATCTTAGCTTCAATCAGAACAATAATACTCCTACCAGCTCATGAGCTATTAAAATTCATCAGTTTCTATTGCTTCTGTCGAAATCATATGAGAAATTGTTGGTCATCACCAACAACAAAGCTTTCAAAAATTGAAGTTCCAGAAGTTTAAATATTGTACTACAAGATAATAACTAATGGAAAGTATGCAACTAAATATTGGATAATCTTATTTCAAAATTATCTTAACCGACTACATTGACGATACCTTGTAATATTGTAACTTACAGGTATCTTGTGAGGTCCTCTATATCTACTAACATGGAGTCTTGCTGCATAAGAAGATCATCTCTTTCTAACAGTAGCTGTACCAAATCTTCATTGAAGCCTGTTAGATACAAATATACTGACTGATAGTAAAGTTAGGAAATAAATGGTGATATACATGGATATCAGACTTTATAGCCAGAAAACAAACGTTCCCTCATTCGTTTTCTGAGAAGTAAAAATACCCATGAAACACTGAAACTTAGAAGGAATATAAATATTAGTAAAAAACATGAATTAGATTAAAATTTAAATAATTTGCATTCTCAAAAAAAAAGTGGTCATTAGTTTAAAACCAGGTATTATGGATTAGAATCTATTAATTTGTGGTTGTCAGTTAAATGAAATTCTGTTTACAGTCTTTCTTCCTAAGGGTTTTATTTGAAGGCTTATTTCAATAAAGGAAATTGCATTGCTTTTATTTTTAAGTAAAAGAGTTTGACTGAAATGCATTATTGGCAAAAATATTTGGGTTTTAAGGCAATATGTATCCAGCATAATAGATGCTCAGGTTCGCTAAGTAGCCACGAGTTTTTTTCCCCACTGGATGCCACTGTTCCTTATCATTTTACTAAGTGCAAGAAAAGACAGCTACCGAAGTGAGCGCTTTATGACAGTTGTCATTTATATAAGAACAGTCAAAGTGGAGATATTCAATCCAATTCAAATAATTTTATCCCACATGGTAAAATTAAATCATTTATGTATACAAACGAACAAAAGAACAAAATTAAATTAAAGAAGCCACATAAATTAAAATGATCCCCAGGGTACAAGATCTAATATAGGGTATAAAATATGCCCTGGGATTTGGAGGTAACTGCGGAAGTAGGACCCACATTTCAGTGAGGATACACTGTCTATCAGTCTTAACCTCCTTTCGCTAGTCTCATATTAAGAAATTATCAAAAGAAATACAAGTTAGCAGAGCGAGATGTGGGTGCTCAAGCCCACAACGTTCCACATCTATAGCACCCAACTCCCAATTTTCAGACTTTACACAAGCCTTTATATGCGATACGGTATTCATCCACATAAAAGTAGTGCCAAGTTGTTTAAACCTTATTAAAAATACTTATCGGAAACTTTCAGCAAAAACTACTTAATTTTTACTTCTTTATATTTATTTAATACATGTCTATATTTGTCACGAAATATTTTAAAAATTTCTTTATTAAATCCATTCAATATTAATTTATACATCAATATTTCAACATTAATAATGAAATACTGTAATTTATTACAAATTTTACAAAATCTGAATAATTGTGAACAGGAGAGTAAGGCACATTAATATTAAAAGAGGGTAAGCCCTATATTGGAAAAGAACAAATATTTTCTTTTATCAAACTTGATAAAAGAGTTAGCACAAAGGATTACATATAAATTGTAATAAACTTAAAATAAGACCGAAAACTCGAGCGCTTTCGAATAGTTGACT